GGGGTTTGGGGGGAAATGGGGGCAATTTGGGGGGGGTGGGGGGGAACTGGGGAAAATGGGGGGGATTTGGAGGGTTTAGGGGGAAATGGGGAAAAATGGGAGAAATTGGGGGGGAAATGGGGAGAACTGGGCGAAATGGGGGACCCGCTCCTGGGGGCCCCTGAGCCCCCCCAAACCCGATGAATCAGTGGCTCATTGCGGAGCCTTCGGGCTCCGGGAGGAGGAGGAGGAGGAGGAGGAAGAGGAAGAACTCGCCGGGATGAATCATCCCGTATTCCCGGGAGCTGGGGGGCGGCTGCCGGCACAGGCAGCAGTTGGGGGGGCGCTGGGCATGGAGGGGGGTGCGTGAGGCATCCACACCCCCCGTGGGCACAGCCCCCCTTCCCCTCCCAGTGCCACATTATCTGGGGGCATTGCTGGGGCTCCCAGGGCAGAATTTGGGGCAGAAACCCCCCCAGCCCCCTCCTGGGGGTCAGAAATGCCGGCAGGAACCGGCTCTCAGTGCTGCATCCAGCCCTCGTGTGGCATCGTGGTGGGGACAGCACAGGGACACGCTGGGGGTGCCCGCACACGCATCCTGGCCGGGGTGTCCCAGGGCAGCTCCGGCAGCAGCTCCTGTCCCAAATCCTCGCCACCATCGCGCCCACCCCCCTGTCTCCATCCAGCCGTGGAGCCCAAAATAGCCCCTTGCTCACCTGGAGGGGGGCGGGGGGGGGCCGGGGCTGCCTCCTGCCCTCATCCCGCTGCTCCATATTAATGAGCCCCTTCCTCCTCCTCCTCCTCCTCCTCCTCCCCCCGTCCCTCCCCGTGTCCGGCGGTGCCGAACCCGAGCTCCGCGACACGAGCCCACCCGCGCTCGGGTCCGGCCGCCCTCGCCATGGCCGGGGGTCCCTCGATGTTCCAGCTCTGGCTCCTGCTCCAAAGCTCCTGCCTCTGCCTGGCACAGCTCGTAAGTGCCGTGCTCGATCCCGCTGCGCTCCGGGCTGGGATGGGATGGGGCTGGAGAAGGGATGGAGAGGGGCTAGATGGAGAAGGGACGGTGCCCATCTCCCCCATCGCAGTGCTGAGCACCCCTGCGACTTTTGGATTCTATTCCCAGCACCTTTCCCTGTTTTTTTTCCCAGGAATGGGGGAGGTTGGGAACAGCCCCCAGGTGGGACCCACTCGGGACCTCTCCGTGCCAAAAGCCCCGCGGGAAGAGGGGACTTGGAGATTGGGACTTGTTGGCTGAACAAGTTCTGTTTTATTATGCCCTTTCCCTCCGCAGCAGCCACCGGATCTGCTTCCCATCACCTGGGAAAATTCCCTTCTCCTTTCCTGGGATGTGCTGCGGCTCTGGATTGAGGGGGCTGAGGGGACTCAGACCCTCCCAGGGCTGCCCCGGGGGGGGACACCAGTAGAGGGGGTCCTGGGGGTCCCGTGGACTCCCCACACTCACCCATGGGCAGGAAAAATTGGATCGGGAAGAAGGGAAGGTGTCTGCCTGCTCCTCGGGATGAGCCGTGCAGAAGAGGAGGCAAAATTCCTCCTGGGAGCCCACCCAGGAAAACTCTCCCTGCCTCGCAGGGATGGGGGGGGGGTAAAATCTGGTTAAAACCCCAGATTTTTAGAAAAGATTTTGGAAAACCTTTCCATGTGGCTCCTGTCGGCGCAGTTTGGGGGGCAGTTCCCTCCTAGAACAGCCCGTGGTGGCAGGGTCTGGCCAGGGGAGCGGGCTCGGGGACGTGGGAGCTCCGGGAACAAGGAACTATTTGGAAATCACTGGGGCAGGACAAAGGTGCCTTTCAGGGGCTCTGCCAGGGGCTCGGGACTCTCTCCCTCCCCGACTGCAGGGTGTGATCCAGGGCTCTCCTGTTCCCTGCTCAAACCAGCAGCTCCCCTCACCCCTATATATTTAAATTCATTATTTCAAATAACCCACCCGGGGGGGGGCCGGAGGAGCCGCAGGAGTTGCAGCCCAGCCACGTCTGGTTCCCATTTCCAGGAACACCGCGGGGTCCGTCTCCAGGACTGGAATCTCTTCCCCCCCAAGACTCCCCGTTAGGATAACAGAGGTTTTCTTTGCAGAGTCCTGAGCAAACCTGCAGGCCGGGCCCCGGGAGCTCCCCTGCCGCTCCTCAATGGAGCTTTTGTGCGGAGCCGGGAGCGGGGCTGCGGGACACGGGCATGGAGCCAGCCCAGCTCAGGGACAGCCCCCACCGAGGGCCAGGGGTCCCCATCTCACCCCGGGGCTGCCAGCACCCAAATCCTGCCAGTGCTCCCAAAAATCCCACTCTGATCCGAGGAGGGCCTTGGCAAAGTGGTGTCATCACCCCGTGGAGACCCTGGGGGTGCCAGGGAAGGAGGTGGGACAGAAATGGGGTAGAAATGCTGCCCTCAACCCATGGAGACCCCTACTCCACTGGGGCAGGAGCCCTGGTGGTGGCGGGGAAGGAGGGGACAGAAATGAGGTAGAAGTGCTGCCATCACCCCATAAACATCCTGCTCCACTGGGGCAGGAATCCCATGGAACCAGGGCAGGCAGCGGCTCCCACCGTCCCCCCAGCATGTCCTGGGGTGCCTCTGCTGCTTCCTGACGGGGATCCCACCCCTCTTCCCCCTTAGCGAGGGCCACCAGGACAGCCCGGCCCGAGAGGGCCCCCTGGTCCTCCAGGAGTGCCGGGAGCGGACGGGATTGACGTGAGTAACCGGGAACCTGAGGGAGGAGGGGAGGGAGGGAGGGAGGGAGGGAGGGGAGGCACAAAGAGGGACATTGTGTGTGGGGCAGAGGCTGGGGCAGGGCAGGGGATGTTGGTGCCGTGGGATTCCCGCTCCGTGGGGTTCCCGCTGCTCCTGGGCTGCGGCACACGGAGCATCCCTGCCTTTAGCTCAGCTCCTGGCGCTGAGGCGCCATCTCCATCCACAGCTGCCCGTGGCCTCCTGAGCACCTTGGAAATCGGGGGCTGAAGGGGTTTTGGGGGATCACAAGACAGGGAGGTTTGGGTGCTCCCCTGTGGGGGCAGCTGAGGATGCTCAGAGGGGTGTAGGGTCAGCCCAGAGGGCAGGGGGGCTGGTGGGGAGCAGGACACCCCAGTGGGTGATGGTGAGCCCAAGGTGTGGCTGGGGGGGGCTGTGGCTCCAGGTCCTCCCCGGGCTGTGGAGTGGGGGCCCGAACAGAGGGGAGACCTGTGAGCCAGCATAACATGCCCTTTCTCTGGGATGTGCCCCCAGCTGTTATTTTAGTGCTATTTATACCCAGAACAGCCACAATTTCCACACCCCCCCAACCCCAGCACAGCCCTCCCCAAACCCCAGCACAACCCACTGTTCCCAACCCCAGCCCCGTCCCCATTCCCCACCTGGCTGTGGAATCCAGCTTGAGGAGGGGGACAGGGATGCTGAGCCCCCCACCCTGGGGGGCGACAGATCCCTTTTACAACCTTCTTCCTCCCCCCAGGGTGACAAAGGCCCTGCTGGAGCCCCGGGCTCCCCGGTGAGTACCTGCCCTCCTCCCAGCTCCCCTGTGCTCTCCCCCATCCCAGAGGAGCTCCTTCCATCCTGCCCCCTCCTCCTCTCTCTTACAGGGTGTCAAGGGGGACCCCGGAGCCCCCGGCCCCAATGGACCCCCAGGGAAGCCGGGCATCGACGTGAGTACCCACCCCCTGTCCCCCTGGGGGGGTCCCTGGCCCCCAGGGCACAGCAAACTTCTCTTACCGTGTCTGTCCCATGTCAGAAGGGGCCAAAATCCCTTCCTGCAGGAGTTGGAAGCACCTTTGGAATCACAGCAGAGCTTGGGCAGGGCTGCTGCCACCCCCTCCCACTGCCTGGGCACCCAAAAGCACGTCCCCCTGCACCCCACGCAGGGCAGAGCTGTGCCAAGGGAGCAGGGACCCCTGGTTGGGGTCTCAGGGGTGTGTGATGGGTGCCCAGGGAGGGTTGGGTGGGTTCCTGCCCCATGCCCAGGTCAGTGCCAGGGATTTTCCTGCTGATCAGAGGGAATCCCAAACTACAGGGTCCTCTTTAGTGCCTCTGATGGCACTTCACAAATCTTTGGGGGTTTAGTTATTCTTCAGTAACAAATGAATAGAGAAATAACTGTCACTATGAGCATGAGTTATTCATCCAGCTGGATCTGCCTGCAAAGGGATTCATCTCCTTCCATGGGAACAACCCCAGGGGCTGGGAATAACCTCTGGGGTCTCTCCTCTTGCAGGGCCTGACAGGAGCAAAGGGGGAGCCAGGACCCATCGGAGCCCCAGGAATAAAAGTGAGTGAGGGGCTGCTCTGGGGCAGCTTCTCCAGGCTCCCCCTTTCCTTGGCTCCCACCTGGACAGGGACCAGGAATTGGTGATGGAGGTTGTGGCAGTGAGGGGGCACCGGGGCTGGCTGAGGGAGGGGGGATTTTAGCAGCTGGCAGAGCAGACCCGCCTGTTTCTGCTCCTGACTCTCCT